AGTTATATACAGGAAGTGTATTGTGTAAGGGGAGGTAAATACAGGAAGTGTATTGTGTAAGGGGAGTTATATACAGGAAGTGTATCGTGTAAGGGGAGTTAAATACAGGAAGTGTATTGTGTAAGGGGAGTTAAATACAGAAAGTATATCGTGTAAGGGGAGTTAAATACAGGAAGTGTATTGTGTAAGGGGAGGTAAATACAGGAAGTGTATTGTGTAAGGGGAGTTAAATACAGGAAGTAGTATCATGTAAGGGGAGGTAAATACAGGAAGTAGTATCATGTAAGGGGAGGTAAATACAGGAAGTAGTATCATGTATGGGGAGTTAAATACAGAAAGTAATATTGTGTAAGGGGAGTTAAATACAGGAAGTAGTATCATGTATGGGGAGTTAAATACATGAAGTAATATTGTGTAAGGGGAGTTAAATACAGGAAGTGGTATTGTGTAAGGGGAGTTAAATACATGAAATAATATAATGTAAGGGGAGTTAAATACAGGAAGTGTATTATGTAAGGGGAGTTAAATACAGTAAGTAATATAATGAAAGGGGAGTTAAATACAGGAAATAATATAATGTAAGGGGAGTTAAATAAAGGAAATGTATCGTGTAAGGGGAATTAAATACAGTAAGTAATATAATGAAAGGGGAGTAAAATACAGGAAATAATGTAATGTAAGGGAGTTAAATACAGGAAGTGTTCTATGTAAGGGGGGTTAAATACAGGAAGTGTATCGTGTAAGAGAGTTAAATACAGGAAGTGTATTGTGTAAGGGGGGTTAAATACAGGGAGTGTATCGTGTAAGAGAGTTAAATACAGGAAGTGTATTGTGTAAGGGGAGTTAAATACAGGAAGTGTATTGTGTAAGGGGAGTTAAACACAGGAAGTGGTATATGTAAGGGGAGTTAAATACCGGAAGTGGTATATGTAAGGAGAGTTAATTACAGGAAGTGTATTGTGTAAGGGGAGTTAAATACCGGATGTGGTATAGTGTAAGGGACGAAAATACAATAAGTGTATTGTGTAAGGGGAGTTAAATACAGGAAGTGTATTGTGTAAGGGCAGTTGAATATTGGAAGTGTATTGTGTAAGGGGAGTTGAATATAGGAAGTGTATTGTGTAAGGGGAGTTAAATACAGGAAGTGGTATCATGTAAGGGGAGTTAAAAACAGAAAGTGTATTGTGTAAGGGGAGTTAAATACAGGAAGTAGTATCGTGTAAAGGGAGGTAATTACACGAAGTAGTATTGTGTAAGGGAGTTAAATATAGGAAGTGTATTGTGTAAGGGAGTTAAATACAGGAAGTGCATTGTGTAAGGAGCGTTAAATACAGGAAGTGTATCGTGTAAGGCAGTTAAATACAATAAGTGTATCGTGTAAGGGAGTTAAATGCAGGAAGTAGTATCGTGTAAGGGGAGTTAAATATAGCAAGTAGCATCGTGTAAGGTGGATAAATGCAGCAAATGTATTTTTAAAAAGGGCAAATACAGGAATCCAAACAATATTTCGTAAGGGGAGTTTTATATTGGGAGTGTAAGTATGGACTTACAACTGATGGAGTCAACTACAGCATCAAGGGAATGTACTCTATATTATGTGGCCCAGACTCGCAGGAAAAGGGTTTAACAAAACAAAATGCCTTCCATTGTTAGAAAATAATATAAAAATAAGATAATATTAATTTTAAATTTTAAATTTTACTTTAAAAATGTATTTTCTTTCATTTAAATTACTTGCATGTTTAAAACTTATTTAAAACCTGTAATAATTACGCTTTTCAATTCTTCTTTAATAATTCTATTTAGTTTTTAAACAGCTATCAGGATTGTGGTTAAACTGAAAAAATAAACTCTGCATGTTTTTATGTTTTTATCGCTTTTAAAGTAACCTGCTCTTGCCTGCTGCGCTCCGGCTAGTAACCTGACGACTATTCGTCAGCCAAGCGACTCCGAGCAGGGGGAAAACACGAGGCAAGCCAATACGCTGAAATCGATAGGCCATTATACTTTTTAATTAACTACACGCTCCTACACGGCGACATTTTTGAGAGATTTAAAATCAACTGGATTCCCCGCGGTACTAAAAGCCATTTAGAGCAGTCGTCTTTTCTATCGTCGCTGTTCTCAAATTGCTTAGCATGGGAACTCAACTAAAACTGTCAGATTCAAGAACACAGTGGAATCGGCGTGGTCGGGTCGGTAAAGCTCATGGTTGCTAAACAGATAAGTCTCGAGTTCGAATCCTCGGGCAGATGAGGCTCGTTAGATGGGCATAGCCACGCTTCTAGGAAAGACAACTCCATAAACAAGCAACTGCTGCCTTTGTTTGTTCTTGGTTGGACAAAGGCTATGGAAGCAAATCGAACGGAGTTTCTTCCAGGCATCTCTTAAATACAGTACAGAAGTTTGCAATTTTTTTTTAGGATAATGTATATAAACAAAAGGGAGGCTACTCTAAACCCGATTTAATATTTACAGATACAACAATCATAATAGTAGTTAAACAGATGAGTGTCCAGGGGTGTAGGTATACGCAGTGTTTCTTTCAGACTTCTCCGGGGGGGGGGGGGAGGTCGAGCATGGACATACATACTGTAAGGGTAGAGTTTATTTAGCATTTGCCATCACTTTATAATATTAATGGGACGGCGTGGTCGTTAACCCAGAAGTCTCAACTTCGTAATCCGCAGGATGTCCCTGAGTCCGCCTAGCTCTAATGAGTACCTGACTCATGGTTGGCGAACGTAAAGACGGCTGGGAATAGACCTGACCACACTATCCATTCCATGCCCTGGGCACAGAAACAGGCAAGCGCTACTTCATCTGCCCTATTGACGCCGTATCCAAAACTGAAAAGTAACGTAATATTTTATCGTATTTTATAGTAAGCCTTCAAGGTCGGGGTATCCCTCCCCCAATCACCCCCCCCCCCCCCACCCCGCCTCGCCACTGTTCATATGCTGTTTACGAAGTGTATAGACGAGTTCACTAGAAATACGACCATCCATTGCTTATTTGATTCCTTCATGTCAAATTATTTTTTTTAAAGATCGGGTACAAAAAAAATTAATTACAAATAGATGTTTTAGCGTTGGGAATTTAATTGGAAATAAAACTATGAATTGAAGTTTTTAATCAGTATTGTTTTTAAAGATTAATTTAACTCTGTGTGCGTGTGTGTGTGTGGGGGGGGGGGGGGTGCGCGCGGCTAAACTCGATATATTTGACTGAGGATAAATCACGTCATATTGTTTTTAAGAAACGTTTAATGAATATGTGGTTTTATAATATGATGTGATATCAAATTCTAAAGGTTTTCGTGAAATCGCAAATAAAGTAGTGTACAAAATTTCGATGACCGGAATCCGCTCAAAAGTTTAAAGAAACCTACGTATAGGATCTAATATGAAATTTAGTCTCACTAAAATAAATAGTACTCAAGTTATTGGTAATTTAGAAACCAGAAATAGTTTATAGAGGATCACTAATCAGTATAATATACCATATGGTTAATTATTTAATTATTAAAAACAAAATTTCAAATTAGCTATTTTGTTCACACGGAACTAGAGTGTTGCACAACTTCCGGTTACGGGAAATCAATATAAATTTTAAGGAACCTGGTCATATGATCTAATATTAAATTAGAACTTTCGTTCACCTAACTGTAACAGAACTCACGTTATCGCATTCGCACATGAGCACAGACACACACACACACAGCACACAGCGAGAGAGAGAGGGAGAGAGAAAGAGAGAGAGAGAGAGAGAGAGAGAGTGGTAGAGAGGTAGAGAGCGATACAGACAAAATAGCAAGTCGGTTTTTCCGACTCTCGAGAGTGTAGACGATTTTAGCACGATTACAGTAAGTAAAGTTCACCTTTCAGACCTAACGATCAATAGGGCAGATTGATTTCATGTTTCTTGACCTATTGAATGGATTGTCAGCACTATACTTAGCCGCCTTTACTTCCCCTAACGTGAGTCAGGTACTCACCAAAGCTGAGTGGACTCGGGGTCTAGAGTTCGGATCGACATTTAAACTCGAGAACCTCTGACTAGCAGTCGAGCGCTCTACCACTCTACCACGCTGCCTCATGCACGGTTACAACACCCTCTCTATTTACCCCATAACGAGAAAGTAAAAAAAATATCGACAGAAATGAACGTTTTTAAAAAGGTCACTTATAAAGAACCGAGGCGTCTGCAGCATAGCTACATATTTCGGAGCCCGGGGCTGACTTTCGATTTTGACGCCCCTATTCAGACATATTTATAAGGACTAACTTGACCCGCTTTTACTTGCTACAAGCTCCGTCTATGCATTAACAAAGCTCTAGCCTGAGCTTAACCTTATATTAACCTTAACCATAAATGATATACTCTCTATCCTAACTAGCCCTAACCCTACCATGACATCGATACAAACATTAAATTATCGATATGTTAAACCACGAGCTCAGATATAATTAACTGCCAGGTAAATGTAACCGATAAAGTACCCAAAAACAATATCCATTAAGTCAGCACTGATCAGAGTTTAATCAACAAGTCTGAATTTACAACAACACAAAAAAAAATCAGCGAACAGTTGTAATCAAACAACAATACATCGCAACAAACTAAATTCAACGCGCAAGCCGGCATTTGATCGATTATATTGAACTGTTCATTTCTTCTTTTGACAGACCGCTCATTCATTGACTCGTATAGTGTGAGGAACGCTGTACATGTTGCAAGCCATTTACCGCTAATCCCACCGTGGACAGGGGACTGTTGGTGGTGCTAGCTCTTCTTCCGACAAGTACTCGATCCTGGGTCGTGCTGGATAAAGTGGCGGGCGACGATGCTAGACCGAAGATGTTGGTTGAAGGCGTGGTTTCCACTGTGGATTTTGTACTGCTGTCACTCGGGTAAGTTCAATCTCTCAAAAACTAAAATTGCACAGTAGTATATATTCGGATACGTTCCACCGAATAAAACTTTGGATTTTGTACTGCTGTCACTCGGGTATGTTCAATCTAAACAAACAAAAAAAAAGAAAAAAAAAATTACATCGCTAAGATCCACATAAAAAAACAAACAAAAAGCTTTTGAATATGTACGCACATGTACTGCTATCACTCGGGTAAGTTCAATCTCACAAAAATAAATATTACATTTATGTTTATTTTAGAAGTTCCACCTAAAAAAAAACTTTGGATTTTTTTCTTCCGCCATTCGAGTGAGTTCAACTCACAAAAAAAATTCACAAAAAAACGTTTTAATAACAAGCTTTTATGTAATAATGCACTAAAAAGTAGAAAATAAATTATACACTACTATTTAAATAACTTTAAAGAAAAGCGTATCCAATAGATACTAAAGTGACCCACGCTTTTCTTTATAGTAATTTAAATAGTAGTGTCTAATATTTAGGAAGAGAACCACGCTTTTCTTTATAGTTATTTAAATAGTGTTTAATTTCTACTCTACTTTTTAGTGCATTATTACATAAAAATTCATAAAAAACGTTTTAATAACAAGCTTTTATGTAATGATGCACTAAAAAGTAGAAAATAAATTATAGACTACTATTTAAATAACTATAAAGAAAAGCGTGGGTCACTTTAGTATCTATTGGATACCTTTACTAATGTTAAGGAAGACACCCACGCTTTTCTTTATAGTTATTTAAATAGTAGTCTATAATTTATTTTCTACTTTTTAGTGCATCATTACATAAAAGCTTGTTATTAAAACGTTTTTTATGAATTTTTTTTTCAGTACTTTACATGTTTTATTTACAATAGAGTTACATGACTAAAAACCATTGCGCGCCTACTGAACATCACGTTCAGTAGGCGCGCAATGGTTTTTGAACGCAGCCATTACGTGATGGCGCAGCTATTGAAGGTGATGACGCGTGTGGTGTGGTTGGCTAGACATGCCTACTAATTCGGTCCAAATTTTTATTAATTCATAAAAAATTAATTAGGCATCCGATTAAGTCAAATTTAGTTTCAGAATGCATTGTCTTCATGTCTTGACCCACGTGTCAAATGTGAATCGTATCGGTCAAGTAGAAGGGTCCGAATTTTTACTCTTGCGTTTCCGTCTAGACTGACGACTGACGACTGTCGACAGACAGAGGAAGTGAGTTAAATAAAAGCTTGTAAAAAGCTTGTTATTAAAAAGTGTTTTTTTTTTACGTTTTTTTTTCCCCAGTACTTTACATGTTTTATTTACAATAGTTACATGACTAAAAACCATAGTCAAGTTTACAGTTAAAGTTTCAGTAAAATATTATGGGATGGCGTAGTCTAGTGCTAAATAACTAGACTGCTGACCCGACTAAAAACCATCGCGCGCCTATTGAACGTGATGACGCGCTTTTGGCGTAGAGCCCCCCTCGCTCCACGCCCAACACGGCCGTGATGATGCGTGTGGATAGAACTGCCTACTAATTCTGCCCAAATTTTAATTAATTCATAAAAAAATTAATTAGGGATCCAATTAAGTCAAATTTAATGTCATAATGCATTGTCTTCATGTCTTGACCCACGTACCAATTACGAACCGTATCTGACAGTTAGAAGTGTCCGCATTTTCGCTCCGGCGTTTCGATCTAGACTGACGACAGAGGAAGTGAGTTAAATAATAGCTTGTAAAAACAAAAAATACAATACTATCTATTTTAGGATAAGTTCCACCTAAAAAAATTTTTTTTTACATTTTACTGCTGTCACTGGGGTAGGTTCAATCTCACAAAACAATATTGAACTGATATTAATGTTTTGGTGAATTATCACCTCAAAAAAACAACCTTGCATTCATATTACTCTCGGGTAAACACCACCCGGAAAATCCTTAACTTCTTTAAGACATTGATCTATTACTGCTAATTAGTTAGATAAGTTAATTTTTTAAAAGATCGGATTTTATAATATGTAATTCGAATAAGCCACAGCTAACACAATCGAATTTTGTACTACGCTCAACTGTTGGGTATGTTTCACGAATCTATCGAACGTTCTACTGTCCATGTTTTTTTTTTTTACTTTTGTTCTTACTTATCTTGATTTACTGGCTCACGTGTCCAACTTATTGCTGATTGGCTGTTTGATTTACACCAACGGAATGATTAACTTACAGGCTAAAGGAAAAGGACACGAATTAAAGTGCTCTGAATCATAAATTTAAAAAAAAAAGTTTAACGTCATAGCTATGAGTTTCCCCGTTATCTAAAAGGTCTGTTGTAAGTGACACTATGAGAACAATGAATCTATTTCTATCAAAGCAAAGTGTTTTCTGTAACGCCGTCTGTCTGTTTATCACTCTTATTAGATCGGGTACTTGCAAATAAGTTTTAGAGGTTTTGCTCTTGATAAAGCGGGGTATTAAAATTCACTCCAAGGGGAAAATTATAGCGATCTCAATAATCGTGTTTAAAAGGGGTTGAAAACAGACCTCGACTGACCGCGGTGTTTCCAAACTACGGCCCACGGGCCGGATGCGGCCCGCGAGGTCATTTTATCCGGCCCGCGACGATCTTTTTGTCCACTGAATAAATGTTTATTGGAGGTGGCTGAGGAGCTTTGCACAGAACATTCAAAACTATTTGAATGTAGCTTTGTGTGCAAATACAATTACTCGCCGTGTTTCAGACATTGGTGAAAACATTGCGACTCAAATAGCGAAAAATTCAAACAAGTTTCGCCATTTTCCAATTGCAATGGATGAGTCGGTGGACAGCTGTTTCACCTCTCAACTGCTTGTGTTCATTAGAGGTGTGGATGAAGACCTCAACATAATAAAAGAGCTGGAATTTATGACACTGTTACCGAAGAGGATATCTACAGTGTTTCTTCCAGGCTTTTTTCTCCGGGGGGGGGGGGGCACTTGAAATTTTCGGGGGGGGGGGGGGGGGGGGCACTGTTAAACGTATATATTTTCTAACCCTAACGCTAACCCTAAGAGATGGCTGGAAGAAACTCTGGATATCTAACCATATATAGTTCAGAGACAAACAGAAAATCGCAATTTACCATATTTCACATCAGTAAGATTGCTAATTTTGCGAGAAAAATTCTTATCAGAGTATCTAAGAAAAGAAATAGGTGACTTCCTGATGGTAAAGGCAAGCCACAGCCATTATTGTCTGATGAAGAGTGGGTATAGAAATTAGCCTCTGCTGCAGACATAACTAGTCATTTAAATTTTCTGAACATATAACGGCAACAGAGTGAAATCTAGTTTCAGATCTATACACCCACCTAAAGGCCTTTAGATACAAACTTGTTATGTTTTTGGAAAAAGTACAAGCTAACAACTTGACACACTTTCAGCAGTGCAAGGTCTTTACGGCTGAAGCAACCACTGAGTCCCCCACGTCATTTACATACGATATTGTTGAAGACCTCCAGCTGCAGTTTCAGTAGCGGTTTTCTGACTTGGACTCAAAGGCAGAAGAAGTGAGACTGTTTTAAAGCCCATTTGAAGCAAATGTGGCCAGTTGCTAAGATGAACTGCAGCTGGAGGTCATTGAATTGCAAGAAAATGACTTCCTTAGAGACACGTTCAAAGAAGGGCGGATGGGTTTTCATACGTTTTTGCACAAGGAAGACTTTCCTAACATTAAAACGTTTGCATCAAAGTACCTTTCAAATTTTCGAACAACATACCTGTGTGAACAAACATTATCAATAATGAAATACGTGAAGAACAATTTGAGAACAAACGTGGACCTCGGGTGGGGGGGGGGGGGGGGTGGACACTTGAAATTTGTATATATTTCTATATAAATTATTTTTCGTTGGGGGGGTGGGGGGAAGGGGCGGTAGACGTTCTTCGGGGGTGGGGGGGGGCGATGACCCTGAAGAGATGCCTTAAAGAAACTCTGGCCCCCGAACTGATATTTGATAGTTAATGCGGCCCTCGGGCTGAAAAGTTTGGAGACTCCTGATTTAAACTAAAGATTTTTCAAAATGCTTGAATTAGATAGACCACTTGCTTAGAAAAATACCAGATTCTTTAAAAAGTCATAATTAGGGTTTAAAATTGAATCGTTTTACCGCTAATTTTTACCTACTTAGGGGACGTAACTGCCGTATGAATTTAATTTCCCAGTTCTTTGACTGCACACAAAAATAAACGCATAAAACATTTGAATAAAGGAAAAAATCCTTTAAATTTTATAATAAATTGTATTCAAATAGCTCTGAAAATCAATTAATAGTGCCTTATAATTATTTTTTTGATTTATGGCTGATGTAAAGAAAGCTTATAGACTACGTTCTAGAAAAACAATAAAGTTCATTAATGCAATTGCAGCATCGTTTCGAAGAACATGAGTTTCGGGTTTAAGTAGGGTATTGCTAAGTTATTTTTAACCCTTTTATTCATTAATTGAAGGAATTATTTAGTACAATACTAATAAAACTCAAAGAAAGAGAACTGCAAATAGGTTCGATCGAAGGTCTTCGACAGTTAAACATATTAGAATAATTAATTCACTTGATTTATCTAAAATATTAATACTAACTACAGCGATAATTTATTTTATACAGAGTTTATAAATTGTCCCATCAGTCTTTAAAATGAAAAGGACCTCTCCATTATTTCTTTTTTCTTCTTCTTCTTCTTCGTTCTTAATTATTAGTGTTGAATGGGATCGAGATTTATCTGCCAGTGGGGTTGAACTTGAAACTGTTTGAATTTATCAACCATGAGCTTTTTGCCGACTCGGCCACGTCTCCAACACAATTAAGCGTTACGTGTCAACTGGTTATGCACCATTGAGGTCATTGACTCCGATTTCAGCCTGCTTTTCTTATTTCTTTTAAAACCATATATTGTTAGTGTTTGTGTGTGGGGGCGGGGGTGTAAGCCAAAAACTTTGTAGAGGTGTTGTTGAGATGTTGAGTATTAGTTTTTTTTTTTATTCCCGAGCTTATGGTTCAATCTGCAATTTTTATGAAAATATTTTTTAAACATACATATAAATTTATATTTAGACATGACTATAAACA